TTTCCCTTTCATCTTTTCTCTCCCAATTTATTCCATTCATTTCATCATCACGTAACTGTCTTTGCTTACTTTCCTGGAACTCATAGAACTTACTCTTCTATCTTTGGTGTTGTTTCTTTTTTTCATTACAAAATTAACTAATAAGTGATCGTGTTTTTCATTATTGCTAGCTCACAGCTTACCTATTCCTCTGCTGCTGTAGTTCAAGTTGAACAGCTTCCTGTTGTTGGTCAGTGTGTCAGTTTTGTAAAGAATAGATTGCTTCAATTTAGTGTCATTAGGAGTATAGTAGTTTAAAGTCTCCCATTACTGCTAGCTTATTCCTTTCACAACAGTTTGATTTCTAATGCCTATCATGTGACTTTCATGGATTACATGTTTTAGAAGACATTCTTAGTGACCACTTACTGTTTTTCACTAGCTGTTTTTAGTGATACGTGTTTTTGACTCACTTTTTTTTTTTCCTCCTAAACTTCTTTTCAGTTTCTTCACTCTTTTTTTCTTTTCTAGGTCTTGTTTGTGTATTAGGCTGCTAGCTCCTTTCACCTTGATTGTTATTCTAATTGAATTGAATTCTGTGATCAGGCAGTATAGAAACAGCTTATTCATGTTAAAATGTAGTCATAACAGAAACATTAATTATCGTCAGGCCACTAAAGGGATAAATCAAACGGGCATCAGATTTAGAAAATCTCTGAGATTGTTTCTCCTGCTTGTTCCTTCCTGTGTCTTGTTCCCTCCTCCCTTCCTTGCTTATTGAGATTATTGAATGTGCTTTAAGAGGAACGGTGGGTTTGGACTGAATGGGGGGCGAGGGAGGTGGGCGGGGAGAAGTGTTGTCAGTTTGATGATATTGACTTAATTTGGGAAGGGGCACAGGGTGGGATGTGTCTTTGTGTATTACTGCACTTGGAAGGTGAAGCTAGACCAGTCAGTGCCATGCCTATTGCTACTTTTTCCATGCTGGTTCTCCTGTGCTAGTGCCACCTGTTGTGTTGGCTTTACAACACTAGATGGAATTTTTTTAGTCTAATACTATTTATTTTCACAAATTTTTTTTTTTTTTTCATCCTTTCTTTCCCCTCCTAGATATGGACTTTGAAGAACCAACAGTAACCCTTGAATGGGGCTAATGTTGCTTTCAAAGTTAACTCTGTCTTGGTACATTTGTATTGCCCGAGTGGCAAGAGTGGACTCTTTGCTCCTGGCTTACCTCCTGAAACGTGGGTGTAGACTGAGCTTGGTGTCCTACCCTACAAATGTGGAATAAGACACGACTTAGGAGTGCCGTAACGTTGATGTAGAATATATTTTTGTTGGTTTCTCTAGCAGTCAGCCCTTCCCTTTACCCGCCTCCACTGGCCCGCTTCTGTTTTTGGAGCCCTCTGGTGTGGGTAGCCGGCAGGTGGTGCTGATGGATGCCCAGCCAGCCCTCGCCACCCGGACCACCCGCTCCCCCGGGCCGGCCCGCAACAGCCCTCCGGCCTCTGCCTTCTTCGGCACTTAATTCCTGCTTACTGCAAAACACAGTAAAAAAAAAAAAACAAAACAAAACAAACACACAACCCAAAAAAACCACAAAACAACTTGGTGTGGAGCTGTAGCTTATGTGAAAGCTGAGGAGATGATGGGGGTTGAAAGATGTACTGAGTGGGTAGTCTTGAAAATTGCTAAGTAGAAGTACTGTGATCAGTGGAACAATTTAGTAGCAATAATTAAGACTGAAATAAGCAGGTAAATATTGAAACGAGCTTTGCTTATCAGTCCCTAATAATGACTTTTTAAAACCTTCACAGAATGTCAGTTCACCTTTGAGAAGGCTATAGAGTACGTACCATTCGGTATGTACACTCTCTCCTCTATTTATAATGTTCCTCTTGGGAGGATTTTTTTGATTGTACGATACTGTTTTTATGAACATCGAAACCCTCTTTGTAAGACAACCTCGCTTGACTTCTCAGGAAAAAAGTATTGAATTGAAATGAACTGCATGAGAGTTTATATTTCTTGTAGGCTATAGAATGTTAACAGTTTTAACTTACTAATAATTCCTAAAGAAAATTATTCCAGAATTTGTACCTGTTCTTGTTTGGTTTTTGTTCTTGTTTTTTTTTTTTTTTTAAATCTTGTCCATGGTTTTTTATGTGTTAAAAACTTTTTGTCTTTTTATGTCTCATTTTTAGAAGCTGCTAACTTGTGCCAAACCTCCACTGCTGCTACTACGCCTGTGACTCTTACTACTCCATTCAATATAACGTCCTCTGTGGCTTCTGGGACTATCACAAACCCAGTCACAGTGGCAGCTGCAATGAGCATGAGAAGTCCAGTAAATGTATCAAGTGCAGTTAATATATCCAGTCCGATGAACCTAGGGCATCCTGTAACTATAACAAGTCCATTATCCATGACATCTCCATTAACGCTCACCACACCAGTCAATTTACCCACCCCAGTAACCGCTCCAGTGAATATAGCGCATCCAGTCACTATAACATCTCCCATGAACCTCCCCACACCAATGACGTTAGCTGGTCCGTTAAATATAGCAATGAGACCAGTAGAGAGCATGCCTTTCCTGCCCCAGGCCTTGCCCACGTCTCCTCCCTGGTAAAGAATTTCTAAACAGTATTAAAAAGGATTAAAATGGAATCCTTACCAGCAGTTCTTTTTTGGGTTTTGTTTGGTTGGGGTTTTTTTTTGTTGGGTTTTTTTGTTTTGTTTTTTTTTTGTTTTGTTTTGTTTTAGTTAATAATAAATTCAGACTAAGACACTGGGGCAACATGCACCATCAGAGACCGTAGTAGCATCTTCCCCTGTTGATTTGGCTCATATGGTTCAAACTTGAGTTTCACTGGAGCACTTCATTTAAAGTAAGTTTTACCTTTTAGCTGACTGATGCTGAATTAGAGCAGATACTTATTTGCCAGAGTTTAAAAAAAAAAAAAGTAATTAAAAAAAGTTTTATGTTTTATCCCCCAAATTATAACTTAGAAAATTATTTTAATCTAAACACTAGCAAAGACCCATCTGTATCTTTAACAGGGTGGATGGCTAATTTTAACTTGCCAGTCGTTAAGTCCACTGTTTCTGAGCTAGTGTAGAATCTTTGTCTGTGTTGGATGTTTTTTTTAATGAGTAAATGCATTACAATGTTGTCATTTAAAAAAAAAAAATGCATTTTGGAGAAAATATGCATTTTACCTTTGGGAATATGATAATTTCAGGCAGCATTCCCTATGGGAAAGGTGATACCAGCTCTGATATGCAAAGCATATGATAACTTATCATTCTAACTTCAACATATAATAGGGATTGTGACCTGATATTTGGAGATGTAAATATTACCCAACATATTACCCTAAGGGAATATAGCATTGTAGTCAACATTTTTTTTAAAAAAACTGTTATTGTTTGGTGAGAAACAGCCATGGCTGACAGAAGAGGAGTTGAAATGTATGTAAACATGGTCTCTGAACAGTCAGACCCCTATGGGACTCTTATCTAGGAGCAAAAGGAGTGCTTTGAAACTTAAGAAATATTGCTTTAAGCTGGAAGATTCTGGAGGCACTGGGGATGATTTTTATGCCCTCTGCCTCCCAGTCAGAGCCTGCTGGTGTTACAGCAGGGGACAGACGTGTTAGTTGTTCACTAGAAGTTTTGTCTTATATTAAATTGTATACAGTTTTTATTCTAACCACTAACTAGGTAGGATGCCCCTCCAGGACAAGCAGAGAGCGTCTTTTAATTTCTCCCCTATTTCTTAATCAAGTGTTGTGCAAATCTGTTCAACTTTGTAAATATTTGCAAACATCATCATTTTTACGTTATTCTTCTATTGTGTTAACACATTTCTATCAATTTGTGGGAGTTCTGGGGTGATGGTTCGAACTGTCCAGCCCAGGACTTCTCCACAAATGGTCACACATGTTTAAGCTACATGTGCTTTTTATTTCTTAACCTGTTTATCTGTACATAAAGTAGAACGCAAAATCTAGGGAAACAGATATACTTTTTAGACTATCATGTCACATATTCACGTTTTTAAAACTTTGTTTAAAAAAAAAAACACACCCTAAACCCAAGACTCTACATTAAAAAAAAAATAAAAATTTACAGTTGAGATGTTTTTATCTTAATGAAGTTGAAAGCTACGGAGATTAGCGTGTGCGCATTTTCACAGAGTGCTAGCAGGACTGACTAGTCAAAATGGACTGCTTCCGTTTCTACCCTGCCGTGTCAGTACAAGCAGTGATTGCCAGGCTGCTGGCTCAGGTGACAGGTATCTGTATCATTACGTGAAACTGTTCTAGGGGCTTGGACTACATAGTAAAACAAAAACAAAAAAAAAAAAATAGAGCTTAGTGTAAAATAATTTTATAAATGATCTTTTGTACTTTAGGACATCAAATTGTACAACTTTTGTATATATAAAAGCTTAGGAACTTTCTGTTTAGCAGAAAGGAAACACATTCCTACACTTTTAATGTATATGTTTGTTATAATGTCCATGTAAACATATGCCCTATGTTTGTGCCTTTTAATTAGTTTGTCTCAATAAACAAAAATGTAGAGAAGAATATGTAGCTATGACTTTGTTACCACTGTTCTTACTCCAGATGTGTAGAGGTCTTCGTTTTTGCACTGTGTAGAGCATTGCGTGCAGGCAGCTGCATGACTTAGGCTGATCCGGCCGAAACGAGGCATGTGAGGCGAATGCACCCCGGCAAAACTCCTTCCTCCCCTAGCCGAGAGCAGCCCGCGCCGGTGGGGCCTCGCACCTTGGGATGTGTAGTTTCCAAGCCATCTCTGTTACCTGTGGCAGTGATACCACCTCGCACCAGTTTTACATAGTAGGTGTAGCGTGCTGGATCTGGGTGAACTGCAGAGATGACCCTTAGATGAAGTGTGGGTGTCCCTGAGCTTAAAAAAAAAAACAACAACAAAAGCATTAAAAGCTAATATGAAAATGTGTACTAGAAGTGGTTATCTATGAATTACTTACAATAAACAGGTGTGAGACTTAATTGTATGTTGTCAATTACTGCAGTATTGACAGTGGGTCCTCCATCCAGCTAGCGTGCCCTGTGGATGTTATTTTTATCCCAGCAGAGTAGCAGTAGAATAAACACATTAAACACCGGCAAGGAAATCTTTCAACGTGACAGAGGTTTCCCAAACCACTAACCACGGCGCTCTTAGCATGGGATTAGGAAAAGGGCTGTTTCCTTTTTATTTTATGTTGGTTCTGCTCGAATGTACCTGGTTTATGTCCACAAAGCTACATTAGCTAATTGTCAACCTGTTTCATCTGTACTTGGGTAAACATTTGCTTTGTACTGTGTATAAATGGTTCCGAGGTGTGCTCCTCAGCTGTCTCGATACAGACATTAATTTCGCTTTGTAATGCCATCATATGAAATACATTAAGCTGTTTTTTGACAAACGCAAGCTACCTGGTCAAGTAGTTTATACGGTATGCGTGCTGCCTTATAATCGCTGGTTCGTCCACAGCGTGACGGGGCAGTAAGGCCAGCTGCTGGCGGGAGACGATGTGTGGCTGCACGACAGCGGTGAGCGATTTGTATGGCGACGTGTGTCACTGCAGCCCGGGGAAGTTAAGACTATAAGAAAATGGTGGATGTGAAGAACAGATGCTCCTGTTACACCGAGTTAGTTTCTATGCAGCTGATGCGCTTAGCCTAGTTTATTTCATGGAAACTTTTAAGCTGGATCTGGTCCAACATCCAGGGAAGCCTATTGCTGCCGTTGGTTTGAGTGGGTTTTATATCGAGCCCATTCAGGTCTCCAATTGCAAGTAGTTCAATAGGGGTTTTATTTTTTTCTTCTTAAGTTTCCATAAGCGCTCAGCATTAGGTTAATGGCTGAAAGTTTTAAAGTTGAATTTAGCCTTGGAAAGATTTGTGCTGTGGAAAGTCAGGACAGTCAGATCAATGGCACGAAAACTCATCCTCCGGGCACAGAGAGCCCCCGGGTGCCGGGCGGCGCTGGCGCGGCGCTGCGGGGAGGCGGGCCATGGGGAAGTAAGTATGATGGCACAGCCACCCACGCTGCCGGGAACCGCATCAATGCTTTACCATGGGCACAGGTTTGTTTTCTTTATTTGGAACGCCCCACCACTTCCAGAGGCTGTTTGGGGTGAGGAGAAATTTGGGATTCCACCTTTTATGTCTCACCATTGGAGAGTTACACCCGAGTGTTGTAAACTGGGAAGGTTTCTGTTAAGTCATGATCACAGACGAGAGAGAAAATCACATGTTATTCTCAGCGTATGAATTAAATTCTATTTGCCATTGTTCACACGTAAAAGATTTTTTTTTCTCCCTCGTACAATAACTTTTTCTTTAGAGTGGCAGAAGAAAAAAGTATTTAACGTGTTTGCATTGGTCCACGAGAGGTTTAAAGAAAAACACCAAAAACCCAATAAGCTGTTTGAGCTGCAGCAATCCCAGGTTACATAAAGGGGCCGGGGTTGCCGGGGGATTAGTGGCTGGCATTACTGGTGGTGATAAGCCCTCCAAGTTCTGCTCACTCTTCGCTCACTTTTATTTTAGAAACAGTCACTCCGAGCCATATTTTGCAAACTGCCTGGCGTTAATTTTCGAGACTGTCAGGGTTAGATTCCCACCAGAGAGAGAAGGAAGGAAAATTTGGATTTAAAGAACGCTCAGGTTTTTAAAAGCGTCCAGGACTCTGCTACTTTTTTTGTTTTAGGGTCCCCCTACGGGAGCTGAGTTGTCGAGAAGTGGACTATAGTTTTTCACTGCTGGGTCCTTCTGAAAACTCCTCCCTTGCTTTATTGGTGGCTTAGTTTATCCATCTCAAAAATAGATTTAACAGTATTTTCAAAAGGCAGCTATTAAAAGCACTTCAAGTTTTTAAATGCCTTTGAGGTCTGTCTCAGTGCTTAAGTGGATGTTTTTACCAGTGCTTTTTAGGATAAATAGTAAGTGTAAAAATAAATCTCTTCCTCTCCTAATTGTCAGGCAGAATAAAACTTAAAACTTGATCCCCTTCTACCTATTCATTTAATTCGGTGTGTTTATACTTCTTGCTTATCTTTGGATCATTTGCTCACAGCTTCCAGAGCAGCAACTGAAGGATGACAGAGGAACTACGTGCTAATTTTTATGTCAAAAATAGCTTTCACCTTTAAACGCGCAAGGCTCAATGACTGTTTTCTAATTAGAAAAAGAATGCCTCAGCTTCTCTTGCGAATCCATTTTACAGCTGTGTTCAGATTTGACTGTCAGCCCCTGGTTAAAATTTAGTACTGAGGTCTTGACCTAGAAACAAACCTTTTTTGGTATTGGTTTGGAAAAAGTATTTCAGTGCTAAGAGAAACTGAGCCAGGCCGTCCAGCCAGCTCCCTCATCACGGGCTGGCCAGAGCGTTAACATCACATCATTTTGTTGTACATTGCATCTCCCTGAAGACCAAGTAACGACCACTGGGAAAGCAGGGCTTAGGATTTTTTAAAAATAATAATAGATTTTTTTTTGTTGTTTTTCAGGTTTCTGGGCTGATTTGAGGCATTTTTAAAAAACCTTTTTTTTTTTTTTTTAAGGGAGCATAAATGCTTTTTGACCATCAGATGTTTGTAAAACATTTCAGCATGGGCATCTGCGATTCCTACTTGTGTCAGAGTACAGACCTGTGCTTTCCTTGCAAAGCCTTTCCAACAGCTACCTCCGAAATCAACCCATTTAGTAAAGAAACCAAGGGGCATTTTCATACTCCAGTCACCTTTTCCCTTAGTTGTTCTCGCCAGCTGTCAGGACAAAAACATTGTGTTCTGTGTTTTCTGTGCAAGGTTTGTTTTTCAGGGAATTGCCAATTTGGTTGGAACTGGCTGAATTAAATTCACTGTTTTAATTCTTTATAGTTGTGTATTTCTATTCCCGGTTTCTTTTTAC